GGACATAGGGGCGGATGCGGCAATTAAGGTATCCTGCCTTGATGGTTTCTGGCAGTGTGTGTCGTTCAAATGTAAGAATGACGTGTTTGGAAGGGATTTCCTCACCATTTTTTCGGAATATGATGCGCTTAACAGCAACAACACCAACACCTTGGAGTCCCTCGAGGAGTTTTTCCTCACTAGTGTGCAAGAAGTCGTCCTCGGAGAGGACCCCACGGATGGTGTTGAGTGTGCGGTGAGGGCTAACTGACACTTTGACATCAAGAAAACTAGTCAACTTCAGGATCGCTTCACTTTGTTTTTTGGTGGTTACCTCCACTAAGAGGTCTCCGGAGTGCTGCTTTTTAGCCTTGTAGGAGAACCCGACAAGGTTTTCCAGTACTTTGGCAACAACAAAAGGCGACAGCTTTGCAACGGGTTTATGTTCATCGAGCGAATGAACAATGAAAAACTTTGTAAATGTTTCGATTTCAGGATCTTTGTCAGTGGTCTTGGGTTCAAGACAACGCCTTTTAAAGGCTTGCCCTGAACGGGGTTTAGAGGGGTGGGGCGCCATAGGAGGGCAAAAGGTGTTCAGAATCCGCGGTGCACCGCCCACCACCGAGCCCAACAAGGGGTTAGGTAACGCACCATAACAAGAAGGGCTTGGCTGGAGACGTTACGCTAACAGTGCTGCCGGGAAACTATACCCAAGTGTGGGTCAAGACAGAGGTCCATTGCCACCCAAGGTTAGCCCTTGCCGCCAAAGAGGGGTGAAAAAGGAGTAAGATAAGTGAGAGAGAAGTAAAGGAAACAGGAAAGGTAAAAGTGAGAGATCGGAGGGGATAGTAGAAGAAATGGCGACTAGACTGAATCATCCTGGCCGGGCCTTACCAGGACTCCCGTCTATGAGAAGCGGGGGCCGAAGTGGTGTATTGCCTCACCCGGGGGGCCCCGAAGGGTCCAAACCTGCCCCGGGCTCAGCTCAACCACCAGGATTCCCTTTTCCCCAGACACGGGAAAGCCACGCACAGCCAGACGTGGGCGGGCGAACCCGCATGGCTCGGGGTCCGTGGAGACGCCACTCTGGGCCAGAAATGGAGGATGCCGCAAGATTGTTTTGCATTGCTAGGCGAGTGCACAGTGGCCTTCCATATACGCTCCGTGCGGGAACTATAGGGGGCGCTTTGAAAAACGTGCACAGCGCCGCTAGCGGAGGAGCTGGCGTTCGACAGTGAGGCGCGTTCAGCAGCCTGCGGGGGGGGTTTTTGCATGCGAAGCTGTGGCGGCGTAAGCTCGCACGGACAGAACTTTTGCTTTTTGAGCCGATACGTTGAGGGTGACGTTGCATGAATGCTGGGGCAGACCTACGAAGGGCATTTAGCTGTTCTCCTCATCTTATATATTGAGTTTTAGTCGTTATTCGAGGGAATTTCTCTAGTTGCGGCCGAAAAAGGAGTTGAAGCAATTTTCCGAAAAGCGAGACGGCCGCCACCATAATTGCTCTGAGTGGGAAATTTATTTCGCTCGTCGCTGTAATCATAGGACTGCTGGAACAATGATATCTGGAGGCGAGTGAGATGTTCACTAAGTTTGTGCACGAAGTGTGCCAAGTTTCATCAAGACAGCAGGTGTGAAAGTTATGTTTCTAACAAATAAAGAAATAAAGCTGTGCGGGATATCCAACATTGGACCCAAAATGTTGTGTTATAGCGGGCTGTGCAAAGTTCAGATTTTGGCACGCAGGTGCTTGGACTTCACAGAAACATGACACAGCACTTATACCGAAAAAAGGTGGCATAGGGAAACCAGGTGGAAATTTGGTTCGGGCGGTGTAACTCAATGGGAACCGGTTTTGACCATGAAAGGGCTGTCGAGAGGATACCACTGGTCGTGGGAGGTGGAGACTTTGCAGGTAGGAAGGGACTAGTGGACTGTACTCCCAATTGAAACAACTTTACGAAAAGTGGTTCCAAAGCCGAGAAAACAAAGTTGTCGGCCAACACACGGTTTGGCCGTCAAGGGCTTTTGCGGTCAGCTGTTGTGTAATAACCTGTTGTGCGAGGTGCTGATTTTTGGCGCACAGGTTCTTTGACATGACCGTAACTTGACACAACACTTATTATACCAAAAAGAGTTGGCATTGCGAAACTAGGTGGAAATTTCATTTGGGTGGCGTAACTAAATGGGAACTGGTTTTGACCGTCAAAGGCTGTCAAGATAATACCACCCATCGTGGAAGGTGCACACTTTACAGGTAGGAAGGGACCAGTGGACAGTACTTCCAGTTCGAACCACTTTGCGACAGGTGGCTCTAAGGCCGAGAAGAAAAAAATTGTCTACAGAACTCGGGGTGTCAGCGTTTCCACATCCAAAAAGGAGGCTTATCAAAAAAGAAAGCACACCACATAAACTTCCATACTCAAAAGTCGATTCTCCAGTGATTCCAAATTTCATTGTTGTTTTCTTTAGATTCATATTTGTCACCTTTTTACTGTTCGAATCTTTCTTCATAAAGTACAGACTGCGTGCCATACTTGTCCGGAAATATCATCGACATGTACGATGGGGACGAAACTTCTTTGGAGGGCATTCCTCCAACGAAATTGGCACTGCATACCCGCGAGTGTGGGATGGCATTTCAGTTCGTCCCATCGGCACTAACACATGTAGGCGTTACTGGTACGAAAATAAACGCAGAGCGCAAAGCGGCAGTGTAGAATATGTCAGCCGTGCCGACAAAGTGGCAGACATGATCGGGAGACCAAATTTCTCACGTCGTATGGCACGGGTCCATTGTTGTCGCCGTCCCACAAAACATAGGCAAAGTGAAAAACTGTGAAACTTTGTCCTCACGAGATACGACGCATAACTATTGAAGCACTTAATGACGCAGCACAGGCAGCACTTCATGCTGTTAACCCAGCGCAACCGCACCACTCCGACTTCAATGCGTACCAACGTCCGCGGCGCGGTTTCGGTTTCGATTTTTCTGGGGTTCTCACTGGCTCCCTTCAATACCGGCCGCGCGGCGGCACGCCAGTCGCGTCGCACGGAGTGTATATACATTTCACACCCTCAAAGAGCACATACTGGCCATACGTTGAACCTGCACTTGCATCAACATTTTTTCTAACCATTATATGGGATTATTAATTTAGCCATGTCTACTGGTTGGTTGAACTAACTTTGGGGTAACTTAACGACCATACAAAAAACTAAATAACACCCCTAAAAGAATTCTTAATCTTTTGTGTCGTCCATTTCAACATTTATATGACCGTTCGGTTTTCTGAAGAACTGCCCTACAATGATTATTATGATGCAACGAATGGTCCCCCAAATAAAAAGGACGAACTGACTGAGTCAGCTCCCAGCCGACTTAGTGCCACCTGCACTAAAGGAACACTCCGGCATTTTCTTCATAGTTCCCTATTTGCCCGAAAAACTGCTAAACACGCGAACAAACATCGCTGAAATAGTAACCCAAATGCCGGGTCAAAACTATTTTTTTTCCTAAAGTTACTGACTGTACAATCTTGGTTCCCACCGTGTTTTTTCAACTGAAAGTCTCTACAGGCAACAATGAAAAAGTGGCATCTGCGGCAGGCAGGGGTTCACTCTTTGGACTGTAGCCTTTGTTCCCAACTGTTTCCAAGCAGTTTCATAATGTCCAATGAATGCTTTGGAAGCTCGCTCTGCCACAGCACGTATCAAATGGTCGGCGTAGTCCATTTTAAGCCTGCCTTCCCTCGAACGCAGGGAAGCCTGGCTTTCCCCAAAGTCACGGCACTGAAAAGCGTGGGTACATTTGATTGTTGGCCTTGGCATCATTTTCACTTGCCAATTCCACATTAACTATGGTGAATTTCGCAATACTACCGTAATATCCCAAGATAGCCCACCTAAAATTGAAAGTAAACGGGATGAAAATATGGAGGGGGCTAACTTTTGTTACGCGATCAAAAAAAAGTTGAAAAAGTGCCAGTATTAGATTTCGTGGCCTGCGGAACTTGCGGTTGCAGGGAGGGGCAATGAACCAAAGAGGACTGCCCTTCCCAGTCAGCAATGTTCATTTATCTCCTGTCTTGGCTCAGTAACACCATTTTTCCCGAGGTCACCACTGGCCACGGCCCTGCAATTACTAACAGTGGGCTATCTTTCGGTGTTTTCAAAAAAATAGCAAATCGTGCCAAAAATCGGGGACGAGTTATCTTTCAAGGGTGGGGCATATCTCGGGATATTAAGGTAAATAGCGGACCGGAAAGGGTAAAGGCCTGTGATTCCGAAAATGTGGTTAATTGGGGTAGCTAAAAAAATTGCCGGAGTACCCCTTTCGTAAATGCAGAGTACACCCATGCTGACTGGACGGTGTACGACATGCTAGCCATATTGGGACACCAATGCTTTTCGACGTTTCCCCAACACGCCGTCGGTGCGTAGCATGGGACCCGGCAATACCGAGACGTTGTAGCCGGCGGGGGGCGATGCGGCGAGACAGGCCACCATTCCTTCGGCCAACGTCACGTCAATTTACCCACTGGAGATTCCGCCCACTAGAGAATTCTCCCACTAGGGAGTCCGCTCGCTAGGCCTGTGTTTCTCCTCAGAGCCACTGAGGCGGTCAGATGCTCGTTTAATGGCACGAATGTTTTCGATGGCCGTCTTTTTAACATTTGAAGAAAAGGGTAAAAACCGGGGCTTGGAAGTCTGGGCTACTCGCACCACACCCCGCACCAACTGTACACCCACATTATTGTGGCAAATCTATCCAAGGTAAAGTAAAAAGAGCCAGTTGGGCATCTTAATTAAGCTCACACACTTCGCAATTTCCGTCAAAAAAACCAAAAAACACAGATTTTAAAATTATAAGTAATTTTTAAAAAAATTCTTTTTTTATATTATTTTTGCACCAGCCATTCTGTAATCACCTAGAAAGTGGAGCTTTTCTAAGAAACTTTTGCCCCATTTCTCTTAAAAAACTTAAGTGAACCTGCAAACCAAGAGTTAGAAAGCCCTACCTGTAGACGGAGACGTGCACCCCTCGGCTGGTGTCCTCCTTGAGCTTCTTGACCTTCTTCTCCCGCCGCTGCTCGGTCGTCAGCTTGCGGGATGCGTTGGCCTCCTCGTGGGCCCTGGCAAACCCAAGAATACCCTCTCGTGAGCGGCTCTTTCTTTCCAAAAAAGGCCCGCAACGCGTAGCTCCATACGGAGCGAAAATTTGCCCCCTCCCCGCACTATCGTGCGGCGGCACTGCAGACACGGGCACGGGGCGTACAGTTTTCTTCATCATAAGCCCAGATGCGCGTCGATTTTTTTGTTCGACGGCAAAAATCAATGCCGGAAAACAGAATCTCCGAGAAAAACAAAACCCTCCAAAAAAAAAAACCCGAGTTCGAAGAAAAATAACCCTCGAAGACACGGAAGCCCATTAAAAACTTAAAGGGCGATTCCGGTCAAATTTTCATGTTAAGAAAACAATGCGGTCCTACGTCGTATCATCCGAAAAGCCTAGGTGTAAAAATATTATGACGCAATTCCGCGTAAAAGTTTAATAAACCGGCCAACCAAGTCGGAGCGGCTCCACGGTCACCAAAATTTGCCCGATATAGAGGGTGACACACGGAGCAGCGCAGTCAACGCCACCATGTGGACGCGGCCAACACTGCACGGGACGTCAACCACTGGAAGAATTGTTTTGCTTCTTAAGGCTCCGCTATACTCCTAAGTCAAGTGCAGTGAATGCAGAGTAGAGCAGAACTTGCGCCTTTCCAGCAAGCATGGAATCGATGTCTGCGACCAATCAGCATCGGTGTGAGCCGCGCTACACCTCGTTTCGGAGTGTGACGGGGCCTTTACTTTCCGAGGTGCAGAGTGCAGGGGGCGAGAGAGAAAAGAAAGCAGACACACTGCCACTGCCCGACTGTGCCGGGTCAAGGACGCCATCGTTGACGACGTAGCCAACGCCTCCGTACCACATGAAGAACCAATGTTGCCTACAACAGGCAATTTTTCAGTTTCGCTTTGTGATTTTTTTTTAAACGAGGTTTCCAAGAAAACTACAACTTCTCGGAAAATGAATGACATAGAACCGTTTATTAGTAGTTTGGACACGATAATCACCAGTAATCCCAAAATTTTCGGAATTCACCGGAGTTACCCTTTAAAGGGGAACGGAAACAAAATGACGAGCGCGCGAGCCTCTACCCCTCGCTTCGAAGTCGGCCAGCGAGAAGTGACAAGCGTATTGCACTCGTGACGTCAATAGTTCTCGAGCGGTCAAGGGTACCGTAGTTGCGAGCCTTGCCGCCTGGTGGCATCGACGCGTGACAATCTCGCCTAGTAGTAATATCCGAGGGCTGTATGCCCTATGGTTTATACGTACCTTGCCCGTAACATCATTTCTGGCCATGCCGGTACTGTACGTGCCACAAGTGTTCGCCTCACCGTGTTAGTTTCACAGCGCAGAAGCAGTGGCTTGAGGGAACCAGTAAGTAGAAATAGCCATCAGTACCCAGCAATGGCGTACGGTTGGCCTGACAGAGGTCCCCGGATCCTCGGATCAAGCTCCTACCTAGCGTCTGCAAAGAACGGCAATCTCGATGGTGTGGAATGAACGTTGCAGAAGCACCGTGGAGCTGATACTGCAGTCCGCAGAACGATCAAGTGCTTGCGCTAGAAATGCATGTCTCAAAGCAAGGAGCGTGGGCTAGTTTGCGATTGCAGCTTTGACTGCAGTCTGAGCTTATGAGCGTTCTCTGCCAAGTCACATTCGAAACTAAGTAACTCCATGAGAGAGCCATACTGCCGCAAACAGGCGCTGCTTCTTAGGAGCTCATGACGTGATGGCATTCCAACGGAGCTTCACAGACCGCCACCAGATGCAATTCTGAAATCTGTTCATTAGTTTTAAAATTCGTGTCCTTGACTTCTCTGCCTCCAGCCCAGAAACACTAGTCTAGGCTAGTGTTTCTGGGCGGCCGGCACAACATGGACAATGTCTAAACGAAGGAATAAAAGTGTGAACATTTCATTTACGTACCCCTTGAAAAGTCGGTACAGAATCTCGTCACTCGTGTCGTGGTATGGTCGTACGACCGTATCACCGGTGCTTCCCTCTTTAACCACTTAACAGTTTTAAACGAACCAGGCTCGCTCGTGGTTTAGTTTGAGGCTCTGCCAACAGATGGCAGCGCTGAACTTTTTTTAAATTTTTCACATTCTGTTAGTGGCTAAGACTTGATTTTGAAGGTAACAAACATTATTTTGAAGACAACAATTAAGCAGTTGAGAATCACAAATTCACCAAAACTAAAAACATTCAAGGGGAGACATGAGTCTTCCGAGCCAAAAAAAAGCATTTTTGGGGAAATAGTGATTTGGGACTCTAGCTACAGCTATTTTTCTTCTAATCTCCCAAGTTTCTTCTTTTGTGTATCAATATTTAAGCCACAATATCAATTTATATAGTACCTTCGCGGGCCGAAGTTGCATTCAGCTTGATGCTACAACGGGGCTCTCTCAAAACACAAATCTCCGACTCTGCAATTTGGCAGGAGGCATCTGGGGCAGATAGCATTTAAGCCATATTGAGTGCAAATTCTTCAATATAGGCCTCGAAAATTTTTCAATTTATCTATCCTTTTATTACTTGGTCCACACATTGCACGCCAAACCTCAATGTGTCATATAAGCAAATGTAGCTAGAAGCTACATTTTCGGTGCTTCGACTTGAACGAGGGCGGTCGCACGCTCTCGCGAGCCCTCGCCAGCACGTACTCCGAGCAGAACCGAGTGGATGGGCGCGTGATCCGAGTGCACGCTACTGGTCTTATCCCGACAGACTTCCATCGTGCGCTGCGGCGAGTGTGATTTCATGCTTCACACAAAATACTAGAACATTCATTCTGAAGATTACGACGTCCTTTTTTCGCGACGGTGTTGGCATTTCCAAATGAACAGATTGTACTAAGCGTCCATGCTCCGAGGCGAGCCTCGTTGACAAAAAAGTGCTACTGGCCTCGAGATCAAACCAGAGGTGGCACTACTGTCGCGCTATCATCATCATCAAAGCGGGGATAGAAGCAGGGCCGCCCCATAGGCTCTTCACGTTCGCGCGCGAGACGCCGTAGATTCTTGCGTTTATTTTGTCGCATAGTATCGGTGGGAAAGAACTTCTAGCGAACACTGATGCGATACCATACCTGCCAACCTAGCAACATGGAAATTCGGGAGACCGCTGCGCGGGGGGGGGGTTGAAACATTATTTTTTTTTAGTTTAACAAGAAACCCCGTGAAGAGACACTTTGCGCAAATCACACTGTCTTCGCAGTTGTCTTGGAATAAACTGCCGGTGGTGCCCTGCCCTTCTACGGCACGAGCATGGTTCTGATGCTTTCGTGAAGTGATGCGTATCTTGATGTCAGGCTTGCCGCCGTGCGAAACGCTCACACATCACAGGCGCACATGATACAAAATTCATACTTGTCCGCTTTCCGCGAAACGACAAAGCATGGAAGCTCAGCTGCGTATGGTCTTAGAAATACTTGCAAGTACTTCTTCGTGGCTTTTGAAAGTGCTATCGATCGTTCCAACAGATCGGTGATTCCAACTAAACTCGGGAAAAACACGAAGAGTAGTTCGGCGTTCCGCACCTCACTCGACGATCTGACAAAGTCAACAGAAGCCTAGCGCACCCATGGTCATATAAGCCGTGTTCCAAAATGCGCTCCAACTTCAGGAGTAGAGGTTTCGTACCTTGGTGTTTGAAAATCTACCCTCATTTTACGCTACTGCTTTGAGTTGTCACGTGGTAACCCGCCCGAGTAACCTAAACCTACTCTCGAGTAACTCGCAATGACACACGCGTGATGATTATAGCAATAAAGCGTCATAAATATAATTAAAAAAAAATTACGGCGGACATATTTCGGGAGATCTGAAGTAGCGTCCGTACAATCGAGAGACGTGATCAAAATTCGGGAGGCTCCCGGAAAATTCGGGAGAGTTGGCAGGTATGCGGTACTGTTCGGTGCTTCAGGAAAGATTGAATCGTGTTACCAGCGTATGGCTTAAATTTAAAAAATCGCTCGCGTGGATGTGTCGCATGCTCTAGGCAGACGTTGGGAGGCATGGATCACCACGACGGATGCCTGTCTCCGGTAGAACTGCACTGTTCATGTTAATTTTTTTAATAGATGTATCATTTCACCAGCGTGGGAATCCTGGATAACATAATACTGGTACTGTGACCTGTAAAAGCACATGTTTGACACTTTTTTTTTTTTTTTTTTACTTTTAGCTTTTGCAGTAGTATAAATATTTAGCTTGAAGAGAAGTTAGAGCTGTATTGGAAATTATCGTGCAGTTGAGTTCCACTGCAGCCAATGTTTACCTTTACTGTGCCATGGTGTGGGTAGGTTTTCCGGAGTCTGAACAATTCTACTACGTTCCGATGAGGAGAGAGTGCCTCTTCTAGTTACGATCCGCAAACTGCACATTGGAAGGACAACCAAAACAAGTGAAACAAACTGTTCTAATATATCTGCTGCGAGTGTGACAAACGAGTGTAACCGAGCAACGCAGCAGCGTTCGCGGTATTAAATGCTCCCCTCGGTAGTGGGAGTTCACCCGATTCCATTTTCTCGGTGAGAGCCGCGGATGTCACGAGGCTAATAGGATAAATTTCTGGCTAAATAATCATCTATTCAAACACAGTAGACTCTGCAACTCCAACAAACGACTCGCACCACGACACAGACAGCATCGGCCGCAGCGACACTCTTTTACTGATGAGGGCTAGCGACCACCACGAGACTTTCCGATCACCCTCTGCCCTCACCTAACATATATCGGGACTGGGCAGTTCATCGATTAACCTTCAGATTATTCGAGTAATGCTTTAATTGTGATTTTTGTTTTCGTTTAGTCGGAATTTTGTGCTGGAGAAAGTCAACAAACAGTAAAAAATGCGTGCTTCAATATTTTTTAGGTCTTTTTTTTTTTCTTTTATGACACAGGGTAGCATGGTAAACCACTTCAACGTGCTTTTGATTGTCACTGAGGGTGATTACACTGTTTAAAAAATAACCTAAAAATTACATTGCTTTATCCGACGAACTTGCAAGTCCAGACG